CTGGGAACTCAAAGATCGCAAGTTCGAATCACGGATTGGACACTCCTACAAAAGACATGAAAGACGTTAAAAACATAAACAGCGGATTCAAAAACTCAAGTCAGAAAAACAGAACACAAGAATACTACCTCACATGGAAGCCAGTCGAAGTCGACGAAGAACGAACACAGTTGACAGCTGTAGGTCACGTGCAACAACAGACACGAGGAGCATGGCTGCTCTCCAAATGGGTCCCTTCTTTTGTATTGACCCCCTAATGATTACTGATCCCCCTTTCTAACTCTTCCCCCAAAAATAATATATCGCCCCTTTTAAAATGTATTGACCCACAAATTAATGAATATTCATGAGCACAGAAACTGCTACGTCATGAATAAATTAGCATAATTAAAAGAAATTTGCATAAAGTGTAGGTACGTCTTCTGGAGTCCTGCCCAATAATGCTATTTCATTGTACCATGAGACATTAGCTTCATGATTGTACATAATAAACTAATGAACATTGTCATGCGATTTATGACCAATTTTGTCAAAAATTATGACTAGGCTTCTACCTTAAGCTTCTACGTAATAATGTAATTCACATAAATAAAAAAAGTTAATTCGTAGACATGGGAAAGGTGTAAAATGTAATCAGCTATTTTATTCTTCCGTAATTTGTACAAAGATATTATTTTTTGTAAGTGTACAAAGCATTTCCCATCTTCGAGAGGCCCTCCAGTTTGTTTCCCCCGGCATGTGTGATGATGAAATGTCACAGTTAGTCAGATTGTCTATGTATCTTTTATGATAACATATACATGTACATAAATATGGTTAACAACATTCAGAGACTGAGAATGTTCTAGAACCGTACTGTGTCTGGGTGGAATATTCTAGATTTTTTTAAGAAACTGGTTGAATAGGTAATAGAACACTGTAGGAGGCAATAGAAGGTAATGGAACATTCTAGAAATTTATAGTAAATTCCAGACTCATTATGTATGCTGATGTAATGGTCTATTTATAGACAGTGGGGTGTATATAGGGGAGTTGTTCAGCACTGAGTTCAGATCGGAGATCTCGTTGAATTGTATTGGAGTTTAAGTATCTAGTTATTGGAGTAGTGGAGTTTTACCGCGTTATTGTACTTGATGTTTGCAGAGTATAATAATACCAGTACCAGTTGAAACCTCATTTGTTGGCTCCGTGTTCGCATGTTAACATCGCTGCCAGGGAAGTCTTTCTGTTGCTGTTGCCATTTTGGTATTTGAACCATCACACCTGTACTATACCAATTACGGTAATATTACGTTGCGTGTGACAGTTACTGAAGTAAAATTTGTGTGTATCTTCTAAGTACATACAATTTGTGAATATTACCAGTAGTATTTAGGGTATTCTTTTTTATAAAAACATTTACTTACCATAAGTTTTATCAACCTGGTTTGAAAGACGAGCCTGTACTCTCACTAAATGTAGTACTTAACGATTGTATTTTTATTTTTTAGCCGTGCCTTCACAGCCTGCACCTAAACTTAAGGATACCTTGGAAGATTCTTCAAAATCCCCACATGAAACACTTCTAAGAAATTTTGGCAATGTCATGCGACGAGTACCCTCACCAGGTAACAGTCATGATCACTTTTCGGATTTTTGTTATTATTAATCCTAATGCATGATTAATTTCTGTTGAAATGTATCCCCGTGGTGGTTTTACAAGTAACAAGTTTTGTGTTTGTCTTGCAGTTATAGTTTTAACTACATCAAATGATACAGCAAAAAGAGGAATGACTTGTAGTTCATTTACTAGTGTATCATTCAAACCACCTATCATATCAGTCTGTGTTCATGACCCAAGGTAAGTAACAACTCAGTAATCATTATAAAAAAAATCTCTATAAATTAACATACTTTTCCCCTCCTGTTTGTGGGTTCTGGTACACTACAGAACTTCAATACATTCATGGGCGACTCACAATGTACAAACGAGAGATTATTGTATAGACCAGTTCATACATACATGCAAGGGACACGTTCAACCAAATATTAAACAATAAAAATTATAACATTCCTGGCTGACAACATAATGTAATAAATAAATACACTAGTAGATCAAAATAATAATACCTAAATTTTAAAGACTTCTCCCACATTAATACAATTCATCATAATAAACCCCCACTCTGAATATCTGGTGTTGTCTTTGTGCAAATATCACCTTACCAGGTGTTCTTCAGTCTTTCAATGATTCACCATCTGTATTCATGTATGCGTAGACTAGCGTTGACACAGTTACCATGGTAGATTCCCAATGTAATAGCATTATCCTGTATGAAATGGTAGTCTTTCAATGCCTTCACAGACACATGGGCGTAGACAGTTCACCTAGCACAAACATGCACCTTCCCCATTCCCCAGGGCTTTGTTTAACTCAATGCGAGATACAAACGTCATATGGAAAATCAGCTACATGTAATATTACAACACAGTTTATATAGACACCAAGTGTTTATATTTGCACACCAAGTGTTGTCCTAATCCACTAATCAGTGGCCTCCATACAATCAAATCATGTATCGTATGCACCTGCTCGTAGATACCATCCAATCATGTCCGTTTATTCAGGTCACATGACACACACATGTCTCTCCAAGGCAACTTGTGTAATATAATCAACCTATATACATGTGTTCATTTTAATCTGATCACATGTTGTATGCACTCGCTCGTAGGTACCATCCAATCAGTGACCTCCCACAATGTATATCAGTGTATTTGTTTAATCAAGTTGCCAAAGGTGACATCTTTCATACGTTTAATGAAAATATCAAAGCGGGTATTCACCAAAGAGTTTCCATAATTTCCTCATGTTACATTCTTCTTGCATCAACTAAGTACAATAGGTTGGACAATGAATGCAATATAAGATAAGATAATTCTTTATTACAACCTTATAGAATGAATTACATATCTATTTTGGTTTATGAAATGCAATAAAAGTGTTAAAATAAACATTACAAGTTAGATATCTAAAATCTACTACAATACAGTAACATGGAATAATGTAAAAAATATTAATGACCTATTAGGTGGTTTTCTCTAATGGTATTTGCTGTTTTTATAAATTTGATAAGCTCTGTTAGTAAATATTTGTTGTTTGTATTCAATATATGAATGAATATATGTTTCGTGTTCTGTCCACCTAGGGAGTCAAAATTTCAAGGTATAATTTTGATTAATACAATGAATATAGCGTAAAGTCTATGTCTGATAATATAAAAACACTTATTGACACTGCCACTATTAAATTATCAAGAATACCATGGAGTTATTAATATGCTACATTTGTATATTTATTTAAATTTATATATATTTTGTATGTACGTGAATTTCCCACTATGTGTAAATTAGGCAATGCATATATGGAAATGCCACTGTATACATATGCAAATTAACCATTATATATGCAAATTAGCCATCTTGTGTATATGCAAATTAGCCACCATATTTTGATATTGCTAGACACTTGCTTGATAAACTCAAGTTTTGCAAAGCTTTCCTGGTCTGTGTCATGTTAAAACTAAACTTGGCTTTCTGTAACCTGTATGATGCTTTTCCAGGTACAGTATGAAATCTGGAGAAAATACCACCAAAGAAAATGGGTACTATCATAATTTCAGTTACCCCGGTAATCACTATACATTCCATCTTAAATGTACCATTTATAGTGCTAGTTCAGTATGTATTTGAAAATAAAATGTAAAATTATGCTCAGACTGAACACATTAATTTTTGCTGTTAAATAAAATCAGCTAAAATAAATCAATGCGATCATTTTTAATAGAATTCATCTTTGAATTTAAAACCTAGTGAATAAGATCAAATATCAAAGTAGTGAAAATCATTGCTTCTACAGTAATAATGTCTTGTGTTTCGAGCTGGTTACCATTTCCATATACTGTATTTATTCAGGTATCCACCCCCTAATCCAAGATTACACAAATTGACCAACCCCTAAACTTTAGTCTGATTATGAATAATACGTATGAAAAGTGAAAACATGGCCTTTCAACATAGAATAGAAAATTTTAAAATGAAAAAAAGTCGGTCATGAAAATTTTTAAAAAAATATTTCCACCATTTAAATATTCTTGAAATCATTTGGTCACATAGAAATTGAACTGAACCACCTTAAGTATCCAACCTATCTGTCATAATAATATTCTGTATTCTGACATGTTGGTGTATATACAGATCAATACAGTATAATAGCATAAACATGACAGCAATCACGGCAAGTGCTAGTAGAATTCATTCTATAATTGTACTTAATGCAGAAAAAACAAAAAAACATTTAAACTTTAGAATATTAAAACGAGACATTGGTGATGGCTAAATCATTATTGTACATATAAGTATCGGTTTGTCCATGGTTGAACTAACACAGTTATATTGTTTTCATATTTTACAGTCCCATGCATGAGCTGTTACTGAAGACCCAAAAGTTTGCTATCAACATATTAGCAAAAGATCAGGTTAGTTGTATTGATCAGGTTTGGGTTTTTTTTTTTAGGAAACTATATTACAGTATTTGTGCTATTATCTAGGCTATATTTTGATGCAAATTTTTATCTTGTGTTTCTAATAGAACAAATACAGTATATGTGTTTTGAATGTAGAGCAATATGATGAAATCACTGATAAATAAAAATATCATATAATAATGTAAAGGTAAATAATTCTGAAATGAGCACAAAAATGGATTCTCAAATACATCTCTCTATCGTCATGCTATATCTTTACATAGTGTCATGATTACTGGTAGAAACTCTGTTGGGGAGGGGTAGTAACAATCCTTTGCTAATTTTTTTTCCCAAAAATGTAATCTTTCCTGTGTAATTTTTTTCAAAATATTCTTTCCGTTCCAAATCCACACTTCCCCAAATTTCTATTGATCAACTTTTTGTTGCTTTATTCTACAGGCACATTTTGGAAGTAGATTTTCAAAGCCATTTAGTGAAAATACAGACCAGTTTCATAAAATACCATGCAACAGCTCGTCTATGGTAAGCCAGCTGGTTTATGTGTATTGTGATTGTTATTGAAAGTGAATATACCAAAAATTTAATGTCAGTTTTGGTGTAATTTTCTTGTCAGGAATTGTCTTATGTGACTGGGCACATATTAATGCGAGGGAGTCGTCGTCACCTGTGCATTGCTTGTCATTGTTTACAAACAAGAGTCTATCCATGAGCCTTCGCGTTTTTAGCGTGTGTTGTTATCGTCGCTTGGGACTCAATTCTAGCGCTCCCGCTTTAAGTAGTAATAAATGATGTGGTTATAAGATTATTCCTATATATGTATTAATCACAGCAGTATAATGACCACTGCATAGCGACAGTGAAACGTGTCTGAATGCATATTCTTGTGACCTTATATATGATTTCCATGTTCCAAATATTCATTTTTTTCACTGAACAGCAGTGTGATTGCTCTGAGCCTTATTAGCATTCAGTGACCTCACTAAGTTGCTCAGCCTTTTCAACCAATCAGATCGCAGTATGTCTGTGCTAAATTAACTGAAATTTAGAAATATGAAAATTATCATTTGGAACGGGTGATGTAACACATGCTTCAAACTGTATTCTTTGTTTTAATTTTCAGTGAAAGTTGATTATGTCAATTTCACTATCAAAATTCACAATAATAGTGAAAATAAAAGTATCATTAGTGAGATCAATAGTGAAATTAACATGTGATGGACAAAAGTCATCCTGAATAAACACAACTGTGACCGTAACCATGTTAGAAGCCTGGTATAGAATGACAATCTTCCTATACAAGGTTTTAACACCATTCAGATCACACCTCATGATGACCTCAATACCTAGTATACTGTAAAACATGTTGAAAAAGCGGCATGCAATTTTAGCGAATTTTTGTAAAATGACGTAATAGCGAAATGTTGATATAGCGAAACTTTCTTGTTATTGTTTATTTCTTTGTTTGGCGGCCATTTTGAATTGATGATAAAGTCATTAGCGACATCTTGAATGAGCAAATCAGTTCTCTCGCTAAATTTGTTAAAAAAACATGCTCGCGAAAAAGACATGTTTTACAGTAGTTTGCTTGTCAGTCTATAACCTATACATACAAATGTCTATTATTCACCTCAGTCTGTAAATTTTCTCAGAGCAGTTCTGTAAATGCAAAACCTGAGAAACTTACCTTGATAGTATTCTGATAGAACTGTTCAGAGGCACTATAGCAAAACGTAAAACATTGTTACTAGTGATTGAGTAAATTCAACTTTTTATTTTCCATGTAGGGTTTACCAATTCTGAAAGGTGTGGCCGGAGTATTAGAATGCAAAGCACATCATGTACATGCTGTAGGAGATCATCATGTATGGTATGGTGAAGTAGTTGAGGCAAGTGAAGAACTCACAGATGAGCCATTACTCTACTGGGAAAGGTATAAGCTTATTGTGTATGCCACATAAAAATAACCAATATTCAACAGTGGTTGTATATAGCAACTGTTTAAAATTGAAAATCATTTTTAATGTGTGATCATTTATTTTCCTAGACCAAATTAAATTTGTCATATAAAATCCTACTATAGTTTCTCGTATTTTGACCTGCCAATCAATAAATAAAAAAATTAACTTTTTGAGCATCATATACTTTTATGAATTATTTCTGATTTTAATTTAGATCGTATCGATCTGTAGGGGATGAGATTTTTATGAAAGCGTTTGAGGAAACCACTTTATTGTTTGACGATTGGGATCATGCAGCTCACTTACGAATGGCATGGAACTACATTAAACAACATGGTAAAGATGACGCTACACCGCTCATCAAGTAAGCTTAAGTGGTTGTTTATGAATGAGCACCCTCAACCAGTCCATTTTAGTAATGTCTCGTTGTGCATCTTTTTCTGTGTTTTTCAAGATAACAGTAGTAGGAATAGTTTCAGAGAAGCTAATTTAGATGTAATCATATGTTAGTCAGTATCAAGTACAGTTAGATCAGGAAATGGACATATAATTGTAATAACAATAGGTTTTTTTCTGACCACTGCAACTAATTTTATGAAATCTCACAGAATATTTGTGACTGCCTTGAGTTTTAAAAATGTTAGAAAAGTTTTGTTTGTTGATTTTTCTTGTTTTCTCTAATGTCTATCACGACAATCATCAGTGTGATTACAAAAGCTGTTGATCATAATCATGATTGACTGCATTCAAACACATGCAATTGTACAAAACAATTGAGTTCCCAAATTTGATAGAGGGCGCTCTGTAAGAAAAGGCTGTGATCAAGAAAACACTATATACTTTAATACAGTGCTCATGCTTCAAAATGAAACAGCAATCAAATCACTGTGTATGCAAATGAAGTGGTAGAACCAGTTTCTAACATAATGCAATGAAATTAATTTTTTACAGAATGGGAATTAAAAAATACAATGAAAAAAACATGGACAAGGTAAGCAAATTCATCTATTTTAAATTGCCATTAAATGTTGTTTTTGTTAAATTGAGTAGTAGTTTTGTTGCCAGTTGATTCATTATTTGTGATGAAATTAAAATCTGAGGCTTGTGCAATGGATTGAAGGCTGACATCTGTGATTATGATGGAGGAAACCCATGTATACATGTATGCAGTCCTCTTTATATTGTGTACTTGCTTTTAGATTCAACGTGGTTATCATGAAACAGTCACTATATTCTATATTCATCTTGTTGCTGATGCAATCAGAAAGGTAGGAGTTGTTTGTTGGTTAATCACATTCCTCCAATGATTAACTCTGACATTGCAATCCTTTCTAAAAAATACATCTAATATGCATTCATGTAGTCATGGTTGATAGTGTTAATATCCGATCACAATCACTGGCTTATAGTTTATAATGTAAGCCATATACGTTGCTGGTACTCACTTTTATCTGCAAAATGGGATTATTTCTAATGTCTCCTAAAAATCCTGACCTTTTATTTTTACTTCAAATACAATAGTAACCAAACGTTGATAGCCATTGAAGGCATATCAACATCTGCATATCTCCAATTTCAAATACTTTTGTTTTTGTGGCAATTTAAACTCTCATGTTGTGGACAATGATGACTGTGATATGACAAACACATGCTGAATATTCAGTCTTTGGAAGTTTATTTTGTGGTGTATGCTATTTGGAAACATTGATCATGATTTTGATTCTGTGTTTTTATTAAAAACTGCAGTTTCAATATTATGCAAACCAAATTTTCCCAAAGGTTTTTTTGTTTAAAGGTTTAAAGCACAAATGTAATCAAAGAAAATGATCGGGAAGAAATTGTTTGAATTGAATTATTTCCTCTTCATATGAGCTAAGATCAAAAAAAAAATATATCCAAAAGTATAACCCTCACCCCTAATGCAGAAATAATGTATTGTCCTGTCAAGGTAATGGTTAATTATATACTACTATCATATATTTTAATTACATCAAGTACACTCACCTCACATTGTTTTAACAGTGTATATCCACATTTACACACTAAGCACACTCTCTTACACATCTGGTGAGTGGACTTAGCTGGTGAGGGGATTGGTTGCTCTCTTTGGATTGTTTAACAATTGTCCTTTTATATAATATATATAACTGTACTGTATTTGTTCTATTAAAAGCTCATCTCAGAAATGTATTAACAGATTGCTTTTATTGTATACTACTAAATCATTAAAATGACATGACATTCCTCTGTGATTCATGTAAATGCATGTGCTATACAGAGCAAATACGGTTTTACAGTTCATAGTTACAGTTACTTTAACACTGCAGCATGTCTTTTATTGTCTATACAAATATTGATGAATTTATTCTGTCTAATTAGTGCAATCAGTGCCAACCAGAAATGACATTTGAAGAGTTTCTAGAAATGCAGAGTCAGCTAAGTGATCGCCGTCTTGTAAATCAGTACTATTCACCAGAAACAATCAACTCATGGGAAGCGTCTGCGAGGTACGTATATCCGTTATTAATGTCACCAAATCAGTACACTGTAACATGCGCAGGTATAAAGAAAAACAGCAGCAAAAGCTTGATGTTTGTTAGAGGGCGGTATTCATCATAGTCACGTGAATTAACTCATTTGACCCACATGTGTATACATTGCTGGCCACTATAAATATGTAAATATTCGTTTTTTAACACTTCCTATTCACATGGGCAGTTTTCACAACAGGGTGCTAGTGAACACAAAATTGTTTAAAAGTTGCAATGACACGCTGAATTGTGTACCAACCAGAGTGCTTGCAACCATTCCGGGTAGTAATAAAAATATTGAAAAATTTGAATATTCGAACCAATTTACCACCATCTCAGCAACATCATTTACTGTATCAGATTTTGAAAAATCCTTTCTTCCTTGGATATTATTATTTATACTCTTTTTATTCACAGCTTTATTCCTCCTGACAGAAAACCACTGCCGAAATAGAAGCATGTGCTCTTAATAGTTAACGCTGTACTACCAATTCAATGCTTTGTTTCTCATTAATATTGGAAACATAAAGTACATTGAAGAATCATATTGCTAATGCTTTCTTTTAGTCCTAAATCCAAATATTTTTTATCATTTAAGTCCAGAATAGCATACTTAGATTTCATCGAGGTTTCAATAAACTGAGATAAATTTGTGGTGATCTACACAGTATGATGCAATAGACACTCTCCTTTAAAAGGATGTCAGTATCATTCAGATCTTGTTTTTTGTTTTTTATTTTTTTTTGTAACCAATTATAAAATCTTTTCACATCAGCAGGGTGCATCTTTGTTTAGCTTTTAAATAAGAATTCTACAGACAAATTTTAAAATGAAGAAGTCCCTTATTTTATTAGCTTATGGAGTTTAAATAAAGCTCCTGAGCCCAAGACAAGCAAACTAACTAAAGGCGTCTTGCAAATTACTGTAAAATGACTAATTTTCACTTGGTTTAAATTTCACTGATTTACCATTTCAGGCATATTCAGTGGGTTTTAAATTCACGGTTTTGTCATTTATGTGATAATGTGTTCTATGCTAAATTTTACATATTCACTGTGTTTTAATTTAGCGCATTTTTCCAGTCAGCGAAATAAGCTAAATTAAAACCCAGTGAATAATTACCCCCTTTACAGTATACTAGTGATGCACACCTCACACCTTGTGAGTGGTGTATATCTTCACTGTATTCTGAAATGGGGATGTATTGCAAGAAATTTTATTTCTGTTCAGTTATAATAGACATATTATTATGCTGATTTTTCTATTTCTTTTTTAATACAAAAGATTCTGAATATGGGATTTTGCCATGCTGAAGTGTTGAGAATAATTGAAGTTATTCATTACGATGTTTAATATATAATAAAATGAAATAAAAATTGTTTTGACATTTTTAGCTCCGCTGTCGACTTTGTCAAGCGGAGCTTATCATATGAGTGATTGTCCGTCGCCGTCGTCCGTCGTCGTCGTCCGTGTCAATGTTTTACTTTTTCGACTTCTTCTTGAAAACTACAAGCCTAAATGCTTTGATACTTGGTGTATATGTACCTTGGGTAGACCTCTCTTAGGTTTGTTCATTTCATGTTGATATCTTTAATTCTCTAATTTTGCTGAATATTTTTGTCATTTTTGGTAAAAACTGATATTTTCGACTTCCTGTTAAAAACCGCAAGTGCAATTGCTTTGATATTACATCTATAGGTACTACATGTGGACCTCTCTCAGATTTGTTAATTTTGTAATGATATCTTTAATTCTTTAATTTTGGTGAATATTTTTGTCATTTTTGGTAAAAACTGATATTTTCGACTTCTTGTTAAAAACCACAAGTCCAATTGCTTTGATACTACATATATAGGTACAACATGTGGACCTCTCTCAGATTTGTTCATTTCGTGATGATATCTTCAATTCTCTAATTTTGGTGAATATTTTTGTAATTTTTGGTAAAAAGTGATATTTTCGACTTCTTGTTAAAAACCAAAAGTTCAATTGCTTT